GACTGTCCGCACCGCGGCAGAATCCCGGTACAGAACTTCGGTTAGAAGCTCCTACCTTTGGTTCTCCTATTTACAAAGGCCAATTCCCCTTCCGCTGGGAATTATTGGTTGATTAGCCGTTCCTTGCACGTAATTTAGTGTTAATCCTCCCGGTACTACTCTTGAAGAGATTCGTTAAGACCGTCTACCTTAAGACTATCGGCTACAAACGCATTCGCCGCTGGCTCTGGTGTGTATCATACGCAGTACCAACTAGTATGTAAGTCCCTAGTGATCTCTGTCAGGAGCGCCGACCAATTTGTCCCACGGTTGCGCCTTGGGATATATAGTAGCATGCTTTAGCGCGGAAGACGCCGTCTTGTATGAACCTGTTCTGAACCTTTTTCCTCGCATTCAGCATCCCGGCGGTCTCTTGCGTCCACCAGTTGACTCCGTTAAGCCTAATGAGCTTGACACGCAGCGCAGGACACGGCACTAATCGAGCTCTGAAATTTCGTCAATTCCGTCTCGGTGACAGTCATCGGTCCAGTCAGTATTTGGTGATAGCCGTGGCAGCTAGCACGTACTAATTGACTCTGTTGATCGCCAATCTCTTGTTCTCCTTCCCATTCCAGTTCCTATGCACTCTGGCAGACGCTCCTACGCATGACGGGCCGTTTCTTCCATTACAATGCGGAAGGTTCTCCATTTCTTTGTATCTGTTCGCTCAGTGTTTCGACCTCATCCATCACTCGCGATTCGGGAATGCAGCGCGCGGCGGCAGACGTCGCCCAGGAAAGGTCTGTGATTGATTCTCCATGCCATCTGACGCACATGCTAACCCTTCCGGTATTCAGGAGCGGAAGATCCAATCCAGCGGCCTACTGTTCCTTCAGTACGTCCATCGCGTCGATCCTCGGTGATCCCCAAGCAATTACGTTGCGTTGAACCACCATCGATTGCGTTGAACCGCCATCGATTAGTATTGAAACGTTCCACGGTATACCTACACTCATCATGTTCCCCATCTTCAAGGGGGCGACTTTTGGTGAGGCGGTCATCGTGCCACCCCTACCCACCGGATCCACATCATCGTTTTCAGCAGACGCAACGCTGGACTTCAGTTCACCCCTGAAGACGCAACCATCTCATCGAAGTCGCCTATCCAGTCGGGACGGATCATATTTCGATACGGCTCCTCCACGACTGCTATGTTATACACTGCCAGGGATTACATGAGTAAATTCCTGTGCACTGTCCTATTAATTCACATTGATCTGGCGTATGCGGCTCGCAAGGGCCGACATTACTGCATTTCCATGGCCCCTTCGGAGTCACATACTACGGTGTCCGAGCAATCCGTTCTCTCCCTGTTCCGAACGACGGTCCCACAATCACCGCGTCTTTTTGGGCGTAATCACTGATTGACGTAGACCTCATTCTCGTCTTCGGTGGATGGCAGACTTTGCAACCCAGGCTATGATTTGATGGCCTGCCCGTGTCTGCGCACACCAGACGTCTGGATTTGGATGTAGAATCCTTGTCTCTTCTCTTAGGATTCGCCATCGCAGCTGCTCCTCCTTCCCTCTTGTCGTCCATTGAACGTTGTCTCGCGCGGTCTTCGAATCTGCAGCAGGAAGAGGCGTTAGACAGTCCCCTCGCCGCTCTCGTTATGTGCGCATTCTTCTTTTTGAAACCTGCATTTTGGGCTCTGAGAATTCTAATTTCCCTTTGCAGAGCTGTTCCCGTCTGTAGAGTACCGTCTGCACAATTCCGACCAACAAGCGTGAGATATTCTCGCCGTCTATCCTAGGAATGTCTTATGGGTACCTCAGAGGCGGCAGTAACATTTCCGGATTATCCCAGTTAAATTAGTTGGTGAAGGTAGCACCATCTCAGCAGCCCTCTCCTCGTCTGTCGTGGGTGGTTTTGCTGCTTACAAGGGGCGAGTAAGACCCGTTTTTGGATCCAAGGTACGACTCTCGCACTCCTCATCCTCGTCCTCGTCCTCTGTGTCTACCCTTCCTGAGCGCATAATACTGCGAATATTACATTTCCTCCTGGAATCTTCCTCGGAGTCCTCGGAGTCCTCGGAGGATCTCAGTGCGTTCCTCCTCCTTCTTTTTGCAATTTCAAAGACTCTCTCAGACCTGCAGGGCAGCAGATCCGTTTCTTCACTGATAATCATCTCGCGAATACCCTTCTTGACTCTTTGAGTTCTTTCTCTCCTGTAACCGATATATCGTTATTCCTGCAATCTTTAGGACTTGTCTCGGTTCCCTACATTTGGATCTTTACAGTCGATCTGTGCATGTGCGGCCTCGGGTCCACCCCACACGCAGATTCCTTGCAGTCGTCCAATGACGACGCTGAGTGGACCTGCTCGATCATCACCTCTGCGACGGGCTTGGAGTCTCAAAAATCACCTGCGCCTGTCCTTTTTTACTCCACTTCATCTATACGTAATTTTAATCTTTGTTTCAAGTGAAACCGCCCACCCGCCCATTGACAGCTTACTCATTCCCACACTGCTCCCGGAACCAGAGTTCCAGCACAGTGTCCCAGTGAGGACCACAGCGTGGTGAGGTAAATTGGACATTTAATCCGTACAAGTCTTTAGCTTCATCGAAGAGACACCACTTACGAGTAGCCCTTATATGAATCATCAATTACAATGTTTCTGATCTGAGAACAGATAAACTTGCTCAAATCTCGGCTCCACAACTTAAACCTGATCTAAACCTAAAATATACCTCTTTCGATACCCAATCACAAAATCTGAAAGCCCGGGGTTTGATGTTTGTAAAGCTGCACGAGCAGAATACTTTTTGCGGTAGGACCAGTCTTACGCTTTACATAGTATTCATAACGTAGTAAGTCGTCCCCGTCCTGTAGTAGTCCTGAATCGGATTTGTGTATTAGGAAATTTTTGTGTTTCTATTGTCTTCAATGTATATATATTATATATTACGGCCCGTGTAGTACTATTTTTCAGTGTGAAGGGCGTGGGAGTGTTGATGTTACGTGCGAGTATGGAGGAAGAATGGATTGTAGGAAGTTGGTAATGTGAGGAAAGATTGTGCGTTTCGTCTCAAAGTCGCTGCCTAGATCCATCAGTGGGGCTGAAGACAACGATCCCTTACCCCAAACGTTGTTATCATGACTACTCGTTAGGCTGGACGGTCACCATCCTAGCGGTGTTCCGCACTTTGTTTGCTTTAACATCGAAGATCGTTAGACTTCGATGCTAGGCGCACTGCCATTGCGGCTTGTACAAGTCGGTGTTCAAAACTCGTACTCAAGGGACTCTAGGCCGTTACAGATTGTATCAAATTTATTGAATTACAAAGGCAGACTGAGATTTAGATTCTTCAGAATTCTAGAGTATAATTACGTTTAACCAAATTTATAATTACGATAAAACGATATTTGATTTCTCGTAATTACTTACTTTATCGAATTGAAATTATATCAAGTTTTAATTGTATATTTATTTGTCACTACAAATATACACAATTGTCAAGTTGATAATCAGAAAGCCAGGAAAATATTTGCCTGCGTCATTAATTACTTCGCAGATTCTTAAAATAGTTTAACGTTTCTTACTTTATAGTTTATTATTTACGTTTTATTCTACACGAGTGACGGAATACTCATCAACTTTGACGCGCGATCATGGAACAAACATGGAAAAAACAAATAAGTATTTTCTGCACCGATTTCGTCAAATTTTCGGAACTGGCAAGAGGTTAACTAGGAATATATGTAAATAGTAACGCGATCAAAATTTTCTGGAGTTTATTTTTAAAACTTATTATATATTATACGCAGTGCAGGTATGCATGATAGTGATAGCCTTGAAGATATCGTCGCACATGATATGAATGTTGTGCGACGAAAACAACATAGAAGCAATGTGTGGCTGCATTTTGAAAAAATTAAGCCACATAAAACATAATGTAAAATATGTCAACAGAAAATTAAAATAAAGTACATCAATACGAGTTCCCTTGGTCGTCATTTAAAGTACAGGCATAGTAATGTAATTAACTTAGTACTTAACATGTACTTAACATGTACAGAGGCAAAGGCCTGTAACAGCAGCAGAATATAACATATTTGGACAAAAATTCAAAAAGGTCTAAAGAGTTTACAAAGGCTATTGCTATCATGATGGCATTAGATTTACAACCTTATAGTTTAGTTGAAGACAGTGGAGTTCAAAAGTTAATGAAGATAGCAGAACCATTACATAAAATACCCTCGTGAACTACATTTTCACGTGAAATAATTCCAAAGCTGTATGAAAAGATAAAACAAAATCTAAAGGACAAAATATCTATAGACTTGAAAGAAGGTAAATTATACTTTTCTTTAGCATTATTTCATTAAGCATTATTTCTTGATATTATTTTTTTATATGTATCTTCTAACTCTAACACATATAATTTTCTAACTGGAAATACCACTGTAGCATTTACTACTGACAGCTGGACGTCAAGAGCCGTTCAAAGTTATTTATCTCTAACTATACACTGTATAAATAAAAATTTTGAACTTTGCCATTATATGTTAAATTTAAAACACCTTCCGGAGAAACATACGTATAAATATATTCAAAACGCTATATTACATTGTCTACAATTATGGGATATACATACTGAGACGCCAGCCTTTATCACTACGATAATGGACGAAATTGTTAAAGCCATCGATAATTATAATAAATGGAGCAGAGTTCCTTGTTTTGCCCATTGTCTATAATTGGCAGTTAAACAAGGTTTAGAGAATTTTGAATTATACGATCATCTCCGGAAAAAGTGCAAAGAAATAGTTACGTTCTTTTCACGCTCCACAACCGCAAATCACAAGTTTGTAACTGCACAAAAATCCATCAACGAACAATAAGAACCACTGCAATTAATACAGGATATCGATACAAGATGGAATTCAACATACGAATGTTTATACGGTTCATTCTTTCGCAAACAACATTAAATATAGTACTGTGTGAAGATAATATGCTGGATAATTTAGATTCAGTAGAATGGAATTTCATTATAACAATAACAGATGTCTTGAAACCTATTAAAGATGTTATAGAAAAAATGAGTGGTGAAACATGTCCAACTGTCTCCCAATATTATCCAATGTATTTCGCATTAATAAATATACTTCAGCCACAGCCAACAGCAACTACACTGGTAAGAGATATGAGCAATAGTATTAGCGAAGCATTAAAGGTCCGTTCAATTATTTATTTTTAGTTACATAAGAAAGACGAAAGAAACAATATTAAATAAATTACGTAATTTTATTTTCAGGAACGATTCGAGCCTATTGTACACAGTAATAACCTGTACTTCAATACCATGTTATTGGATCCTCATTTTAAAGATTACTTATTACCGACAAAAGAAAGACATAAAACAAATATTAAGTGCAACTATTTCAGATATTTACAAGGAAACATCAAACTTATATAAAAACATATTAGACAAACACAATATCAGAAAAAAAGTAGTAAGTTTATATAACAATAAATATAATTTTCCTATTATTTAAATATTTCATTATTTATTAATGATTTATCTTCACGTGCTGCAACTTATAGGTATAAACAAATCACAACTGGACCAATTTTTCGACGATGCACTAGGACATACAAACGTTGAGTAACCGGAGACATTTGAGTCGCAGCTACATCGAGAGATACATATTTCGCTATTACGTATATGTATACGTAATTCTCGTGTGGCCTTAATGCTAGAATTAAATAAAAATATAGATATTATTAGCTGGTGGAAATGCAATACAGCCAGATTACCACTTTTGTCTTTAGCAGCAAAAAAGTTTCTTGTACCTGCCACTCAAACTACGAGTGAAAGGTTATTTTCCTTATCTGGAAATATAATAACACCAACTCGAGTGAAATTACTATCACAAAATGTAGAACAATTATCTTTTTTATATTGTCATTTAGAATAAATATTATTATATTTAAAGAAAAAAATATATGTTTATTAAATATTATGAATAATTGACTTTGATAACGCAATATAATCCCTATCTTATCCAGAGTTAGGCATATTTTATTCGAACGAATAACGAATAAAATACTGTCAAATTTATTCGTAAATAACGAATAACG